TCTCGCTTGTAATGTTTCGATCAAATCCGATAAGCATTTTCTTGTTGCATCGGTATTATTCACATTGTTATCTGAAATTTTATTTTAATCTTTTTGAATCGCCAGGCTTGATATTTATTTTTATAACAGTATGAAAAAAATACTTAAATGATTTGTTTAATATACATATAAATGTGCCTCAATAAATGTAAAAGAGTTAATTAATGAGATAAAAATTGAATACATTCCATGAATATCTTTATATTTTTCTATATATTTTATTAAAAAAACTTATTATTTCAAATAAAGTATAACAAAAAAATATAAAAATAATATAATTACGAGATAATAATATTATATACGAGTACACTTCTTTTATGATAATCGCTTTTTCATGACAAATGAAAAAAATAATTATTTACCTACTGGTACCAAAGTCATCTCAACCTCCCATTGTTCCACCCAATATACATTTTTTTCTACAAGGATTAATGTTAAATTTATTATATGTTCGTTCAATAAGACCATTATATCAACTATTTTCTGATTATCCTTAAAGAATTTAACATTCTCACTTTTCCAATCGGATGTACTGTGAAATTTATATAGCTGGATAATATTCTGTAAATTATTTGTCGCATTATTAACGTATCACGCTTCAATTTTCAGTTTATTTTAATATTGAACAATTGTACACTTACATCGTGCGCTACAATTACGAAAGTATCGCCGTCTATGTGAAAAATTCTTATCAGACTATGCGGTTTGATATCAGGAAGGCTGAACCAATCCAGTAATTCTTCTCCTTGAAACAATACATTCCAGATTTCAGACAATGTCCTACTTTAAAGGAAAAGAAACAAAAGGAAGAACTTTATCGAATGTTACTAACCGTCCCAACAGAATACATCGCTCGGTCCTAAATCATTTATCATCAGGATGAAGTTGAAGTCGCCGTGGATGTAATGATGCACCGACGTCGGACGTGATGCACCAGCGGTGGACAGTAATTGTATTCTTACGATGTTATTGTCCTTGAACTCGTACACTTCGGAACCGATCCACGGATTCTCGGCGTAACTCTGGGCGAACACGATGATTGTTGATTGTCGGTGCTTGAATGCGGTGACCGATATTGCGCCAGTCGTCTTCACATCATCGACGGCGTCCATGTACGTACCGCTCCATCGGTAGATCCTGCAATTCAATTGAATGTGAGAAAAATAAAAATTTGAAAGAAAGAAATATTTAGTTCGATATATTTATTTTTACTGCATTGAGAAAAACGTCTGGATGAACCAGAAGATTATGATTATATCAATTAAAATTTTGTTTATCTCAATTATAATTCTAGTAGCTTTAACCAGAAAATTCTAATTCATTCATTTTCATCTAAAATTTCAATTAATCCAACTAGACATTCTTCTCAGATATATGTACATTTCAAGACAAGACACGACGAGAAATTTAAATTTATTTATTTAAATTAATTTAATTTAATTTGTCTCTCTGTTTTTTTTAGGAATAATATCACGAGACTCACACGGATGATATGGAAAATTTGTGGGCATTATTGACGATGATCAGATAGAGTTGATCGGCTTGTGTGAAAAATTTAGCATCTACAGGGATTTGTTTGTATCCAATGGTATGACGGAATCGCAACGGCTGATTCGATTTTGCTGTGTGAATACTGCATAAACTGGGTTCGTAACACACTAATAAATAGCTGGTGTCCTTCCATATGATACTCTACGATATCACAATCGATGCAACTCGTTTACATCGTGTACAGTGGATTGTAAATAAAGTTAAACATATTAAAAATATTTATTACAAGAAAATATTTATGTAATATAAAAAATAAAGTAGATTATATTATATTTTGCAATATTAATATTAAATTTTATAATACATTTTTAATAAAATTAATATCAAATATTAAATTTTAATAGTGTAAAATTATAAATTTCATAATATATTTTATAAGATAAAGATTAATTATAATTAAAGAGTGATTTATACCCTGACAAATTTAATGACGGTTCCCTTTTTGATCCGATAAATTTCGCGTAACGTGTCATAAGTCTCATTCCAGGCAGTTACATTGAGAGAAGGTGCCATCACGCGATTGCTGTCGAGAATGAATACTCCGTCGAGCATATTTATCGCAAACGGCTGATAATCGCTTGTTATAGGAACTCGCCATGATCTGTTCCAGTGAAGACTATATGATTTTTCTTGCACTGTAATCAAACGTCTACTATTTTTATCTCTCGATAAAGAAATAATTTTTATTTGATTATGAAATTATTTCTATTTAATTTTGAGTATATTATTATTATGTGTTTAATCCTACCATTTGCATAGCATTTTTTAATGTAATTATTTACATACAGTATCTTTGACATCTTAATATCATATTTTGTTGTTCCTTTTGATGATTCACAATTAAATAAAACTTAATAATAATCTATACACCTTTCAAAGATAAATGCAATTTTTTTAAATTTATAAAACAATTTGCGTTAAACGTAATAATGTTTACAAATATAGCATTTAATGAATTTATGAATTATGATTATTTAAAAAACAAAATATTTGTCGTTAAAACAAACTCGTTATGCGGATTTACCTGGCGCTGTCTCTTGGATATGTATTTTGATGAATTCTATCTTGGATTGCCGTAATTTTTCGTCGAGATATTCGTTCAGGTCTATCGCGTGCACGGAAAGTAACAGTAGAGAAATATAACTTTCCAGCTGTAATATGATAGATATTGAAACTGAAGAAATGTTGCGTTTAATTGTGATTTTTCTACACACTGAAAAAGATAATAGTACTCACGAATAGAAAGAAGAGTTTCATGGTTTTGTGATTTTGATCACGGATACCGTAGCCGTACTGAATCCATTCACGGCAAAGGCCGTGCGAATATTGAGAAATTTTCGGAAACAGTCCACGTGATATTCGGGTGACCTTCTTGATACTTCGCGCATATGAGAAGCGAGTATTAATACAGTAAATGTAAATACGTCAATATTATGAAGTATAAATATGAATGTATTCCCCTTTTAAATCTAATGATACATAGGCAAGGCAGAAGATAAATATACGTACTATATACAGAATATGTACAAATATCTTATTGGAAATCAAAGTTATAATTAACGGATATAATATAAAACAGATAAGAATTTTTTTTAAAATTTGTGACGATTTGCTCTAAAAGAAACATGAAGAATTTGTTAAAAAATATGTATTAATTTGCTGGCGTACTGTAGACAATTTGCTTACTGGATACCTGCATCTAGTGCATGTCTTGATCAAATATACTTTTATATATTGCAACATCTCATCAAAGAAAAATAGAATATAAGTTTATATGAGGGAGGGGTGGGAGGAGAGAGAGTTCATTTTTGTGTGGCTATGCGTTTATTAATTTTGTTATATTAATTCTGTGATGCATTCAGAGAGAAATGGACAAAACAATATTATATCAATCGCCGTGAAATGTGTCGATATTCTCTAGGGAATCGAAAACCGAAATAGATGTATAATATGTAAGATACACAATTTTTTCTGCTTTTTAGAATTGTAATACGTTGATAGAAGAGAAAATTCGTATTTATTTATTTTTTAAATATAGTTAACAATAGGAGAGGATAGTCTTTATAATCTCTTTCTCTACATATATTTTTGTACATCTTGCGTTTAGAATAAAGTAAAAGTTTCCCGTTTAAATTTCGAATAAAATTAATAAAAAAAAAAGATTACGAGAATAAAAATTGTCCAAAATAACATGGAACAATTTATATAAGATTCAGCAAAAATTTCATCGGATTCTTTCGAGACCGTCTTCGATGATAACAAAACAAGCAAAGTTTAAAATCATCCGCTGTTTTAATCCTTCAAATTCTAACGTTTTTAACCGCCAGAATTACATAAATCCAATATTAAAAAACAATGACGTTTATACCACAAGCATCGTAAAAAATCTCATTTCCAAAATTCAAATCATAATTCAAACGCGATTCAAATCTTCGCGCTTGCGCGCGCTAGGGAAAAGATTGCATCGGGACGAATTTCGAACGTTACGTTTGGCGCGCATGCGCGAGATGCGAAGACGCGTGCGCACTGATCCAATGCGAGGAGCGTCGCGTCCTCTGATTGGCTAGACGGTCTGCGCGACGAGACACGGCGACGAACGGCGAATCGCGGGCGCGGTCTCGACCGTCTCGAACGGTCTCGAACACATAAGAGATCGGTGGCTGGCACTCGGTCGACTGGTCGACTCAGACCACTGTGCCACTGTGCCGTCCAGTGCAAGTAGTACGCGCTACCGTGTTCCGTTACAAAGTGGAGGAAACCGAACGGTCAGATTGAGCTGATTGAATCGGGTTATCTCCGTCGGGCGCCGGTCTTTTTCTCGGCCCTTTCCCAGTTCCCACTTTTCCCCCGTCGTCCCGTTTTCGTTTTCGTATCATTTACGATCGAGTGCGGAGTTCCCGTCCGCCGCCGCGGGGATACTCGCGGACGCCGGCGCGCCGGGAACGCAACGCCGCGAGATTCGAGAACGCGGCCGCGCGCAGCTGCGTACGCGACCGAGAGGACGAGAGTAGAGTACGAGCACGCGCGTCGCGTGCGTGCGTGCGTGCGTGCGTGGCTTGCGTATGTGTGTGTGAGCGCGTTCGCGCACGCAAGCGAGTGATTCCGAGATCGTCGAGCGGCTCGGGCGCTCGCGTCTGTGTATGCGAGCGCAACCGCGTGCGGGCGGTTCCCACACAACGTCGTTCGTGCAACAAGTGTCAGGAGGCCGACACTTGGTGTTGGTAGCGGTCTTTAGAAATTGTGCGGTGCTTAATACGGAATACGTGTGCATGGTGCTACTGGATTAGCGCGTGTGACGGAGGGATCGCTCGATCGGCGTCCAACAATCGTTATCAATCAAACATCGGTCGCCGTCACTATCGTCACGACGACGAGCTGAGAGGAGGATCGTCACCGGCGAGGGCGCGGGGATGGGCTGCGCCGTGAGCACCACCGGCGAGAAGGAGGCCGCCGAGCGGTCCAAGAAGATCGACAAGGACCTCCGCGCTGATGGCGAACGCGCCGCCAGCGAGGTCAAGCTCCTGCTGCTCGGTAAATGCCCGTCACGATAATCCCCCTCGATACGCGCCGATTCCTCGGGTACCAACACCCTCGCGCGTCTAACGCGCGGAACACGTAAGATATATCGTGACGGAAAATCTTCGGGCGGACTTCCACCGGTCGTTGTCTCCCGAACCTGGTTTCGGTGTTTCCGGTCCTCGGATTTTGGAAGATGACGGCAAATTTGCATCCCCTGCTTCGACGGCGCGCCTATATATTCCGATCTCTTTCTTTTTCTTCAGTCTTTCTCTTTCTCTCTCGCACACTCTCCTTCTTTCTCCGTTCGTCTCTCTTTCCTTCTCCTCACACATCGTCTTGTCTCGTATCGCGCGTGTATCGCGTATCGGACACACCACGCACCCGCCGAACGCTCCCGAAGGCGCCGCGTAGCCCACGATCCGCAAAATCACGCCTGTTCCTCTTCGCTTTCTTCCTCTCTGAATCACGAACGCTATAAGAGAATTATTATCATTAGATCTGTCCTTATTCAGCGTTTATTCTTCGTTTCTCTAATTATTTCGATGTATCCTTTCCATTTTGGTGTTATCAAGATAATAGCCATAACATATCATAAGACATGACTTCAGACATATCTATAAAGATCTGTTATCAACCGGTTGTAATCAAGAGAAGCCGCGACAATTTTCAAATCAATCGGTGAGATTATATTTCTTCCAATCTACGCTACGTAGATCCGCTCGCCTTTCTTCTTGCCTTGATGATGAAACATTTTTCTCTTTTTTCCTTTCAGAACCTTGGAGTATCCTTCACCTTATCCAAGGGGCGAAGAATCCTGTAGAAAAGAGTCCAAGCTTCCCCAGCAATTTCCTCCCCCCGTCTCTCCCTGGAATCCTATAGTTTCATGAGTAGAACGGAACAAGCAACTTGCGTGCCAGAGAACGAGAGAAAGAGCTGAAACGCAACGGTTGATATTGCGCCTAATTCAGACGACGAGACTCCTTTCCTAGCGTTTCGCGACACGGTGCCTTTCGGTCGGTTAACACGCTCTCGATCGCACGAATACAGGCGTCCCTCTTTCTAGCCAAGCGCTTCCCGCAGTGGCGTGCATGTGTCACATTTCACGTTCCTTCTACGGCTAAAACGTAGACGGCCACGAAATTGCGATACGCCGTATTTCAATTCTCGCATTCTCTCGGCCAAAATCTGCTTTGTCGCTATGCGAGTCCTTTTAAAAAAAGAGAAATTACTTGTTCCCCAAAACGGGAGCGTTCTTTTAACAATAGAATTTATAATCGACTATATGCATTCGTACATCCTGCTTTTAAACGTACAGAAGGATTATAGAAATTAATATCACACATGGAGAAAGAACGAGTTTGCTGAAATATCTAAATATTTAACTAAATACAGATCCGAAAATAATTTTGTTCGACTGTTAAAATAATTATGTAGGAAACTTAAGCATGATAGGCAACGTTTCGAGAATTTTTCTAACAATTAGCTTTGAACAGTCTACATAATTATTTTGGTATTATTTGAAGTCTACAACACAATTATTTTCTGATCTGTCTAGCTAAATTTTTTAATACTTTAATAAAACTATTCTTTTTGTACAGTGTCTGGGACATCGAAGTAATAAATTCAAAGCAATTTTATTCATTTCGATTAAAGAGCTGGAATTAAAAAATGTATGCAAAAAAAAATAATTATGTATCATTCAAATGATTCATTTCTCTGCAAACATGTTTTTAGTTTGCAAATTAGAATAAATGTTTTTCCTGTATACGTCTAATACGCTACGAATACATTTACTTTGATATTTATTATTCGTTATCGCCAAATGTCGCATGTAACTGATTCAATAATAGTACTAAAGATCCAGTATTGTTCAGGATTGTCAATGTGTTCAACAAAATTTTGAGATTCTTGACCGACATTGCACAATGTGGAATCGCGGATGTAGAACGCATGCATCGTTACGGGAAACTTGAATCATCGGCCGCGTGTGAATCACGAGATTACGTCTCTTTGAGATCGCGCGGAATTATCTTCGTCTCGCTTATAGGAAAAAAAAAAATTACTCTTCCTGGAAGGGGAAAACGAGTACTAGTCTTTACGATGACTGGCGGAACTGATCGTTAATCGGACAAAACTCATCGACAAAGACACCGATGATTAATCGGTTAATTGGATTGATTACATATCTGGCAATGTGCCGATTGTGAGCGTTTTTGCATAGAGTCGCATTGATTCAAAAATAGCGAGTCGTTACGATAAATGAATTGCGGCGTTAACAATGCACGGCATGACAGCGATTTTAATTATGTCAAGGAAGACTCGAGAATTTCTCTATCTCATGGTCACGGTATTTGATCATTTCAATGTGACACGATATTTTATTTACATTTGATATTGTTTGATACAATAATATTTAGCATGATATATTCAATATAATTACATATATAATCGTTGAATGTATTTATTAAATCCTCATTATTTTACGTATTATATATTTATACATATCTAAATTCAAGGTGCTGGGGAGTCTGGCAAATCTACGATAGTAAAGCAAATGAAAATAATTCACGAGACCGGCTACAGTAAAGAGGAATGCGAACAATACACTCCTGTGGTATACAGCAACACGATACAAAGTTTAATGACGATAATCAGGGCCATGGGGGATCTTAGAATCGACTTTGCTGAGCCTAGCAAAGCGGTAAGTCTGCGCATCTGTCTGCTAGATCGTTATGAAATATTCATTTTTAAGAAAAATTGCATGCGAAATTCAATTCAAATTCTTTTTTTCTTTTATCAAGATAGTCATTATCTTTGATACACTTTTTTCGTTTAGAAAATGTAGCTCTCTTTTTAATTTTATTTAAAAAAAATAACTTCTCAGAAAGAATAGCTTTATTTACGGAATTTATGGTAGACGACAAATCTTTTACATCAGTCTACATTACGTGCATTATTAACTGCACTTTCTCGTGCCCCACTGGCACATTAGATAATCGGCCTTGTTTTGCGTTGTAGGATATGGCACGACAATTTTTCACCCTAGCATCGGCAGCGGAGGAGGGCGAGCTGACCGGGGAACTAGTGTTATTAATGAAGCGATTATGGCAGGACCCGGGACTGCAGCTCTGTTTCTCGCGTAGCAGGGAATACCAGCTCAATGATTCGGCAGCGTACTACCTTAACGCACTTGACCGCATAACGCAACATAATTATGTCCCGACACAGCAGGACGTTCTGCGAACGCGCGTCAAAACCACTGGAATCGTGGAGACACATTTTTCTTTCAAGGGCTTACATTTTAAGTACGTTGTCTATCATTATTGTCTATCAAAGATATTTAATTTATTTTAAATAAATTATGAATCATTAATTATTGAACAAATTATTCCTAAATGTGCGTTATAAGAAAT